GATGGATTGATTCGGTGACTGGGGTAATCGGGATGGGTGTGTCAGAGGCGGTGAGGTTGGCGCATGATAGAGCAGGGTTTAGGGCTGTTGTGCATAGGGTCGCTATGAGTCGGAAACGACTGGACGGCACATAACAACAACAACAATTTTAAAATGTCTTAAAGTCTCTGGCTGTGATTAGTTTTTTACTGGATTTGTGATTCTGGATTACCATATTCCAGTTCTGTATTAGCATTACATTACTCGAAAAACATAGAAAGACTTAGGTTTACTTTTTATTTCCATATTTATTTAGACTATCTTCTCACCTAAAGCTATTCCTTTTTAAACATGACATAGATTTAAAAAGGAGTTTTTTAAGGTATATGGATATGAACATGAGTTCTGTTTACTGAGTTCTCCAAAATGATCAAAACTTGCTTTTACTCTATGTATTATTAGAAGCAGGAGTGGCATCCACTTTCTCAATAACGTGCCTCCAGAAACTCTATTAACTTTGATAAATGTCGATAGTTGTAGAGGGGCTTCAAGCCTTTTGTTCAGAGGGTCGCTATGAGTTGTGCTGGATTTGAAGGCATTCAAAAACAACAACATTAAATAATGATTTTAAAATGACTGTGAGAAGACTAAAGATACTTAGGCAAATATAATGCCCAAAGAGAAGAAAGAAAAAAAAAAAAGAGTAATGAACATGTTGCTTGAACACATGAAAACTCAAAATCTTTACTATAAAAAAATCAAAATAAATGCATTACTTAGCTAAAATCTAATAGATATTTTAGTTTAATACTAAAAGCATAGAGACAAAGTTTACTTTTCACTTGTCATTGATAATATTTTAAATAACATTTGGAAAGAATTATTATTTTACTGTGGGTCTTTGAAATACGTATGTGCTGAAACCTAGTAATTTGGTTTTCATAGTTCCTCATGTTGTTTGTTATGTGCTGTCAACTCGTCATAGGGCCCTGCATACAATAGCTCTGAACCCTGCCCTATCCTGAGCCAGTCTCACTGACTCAACACATGGACCCCAATTACCGCAGTTACTGTGTCAGTCCGTCTCATATGGGTTTTTCCTCTCTGGCTCTGTTTCTCCACTCTTGCACTCCTTCTCCAAGGACTGGTTTCTTCTAGGCATATACCCAGAGTTTGTGAGAGGGAGCTTCAAAACCCTTCCCTCCAAAGAGAAACTTGGTATCACCCTCTGTGATAGTTCATCATAGCTAGCATTTATTGCAAATAATTAATTAAAGTAACTATGCATCCTGGTTTGCGGTTGAGACTAGGGTGTGGCTCTGGCTCACAATAAGGTGTGAGTTGATGAGATTTGACCTTGCCTTTAAAAAGCTTTTGGGCCCTCAGGCCTTCCTCCCTCAGGCCTCATTTTTGTGGATCTCCTGAATGAAATAGGCTTGGAAGCAGGAGCAGCATCCATTTTAAAAAAAAAAAGCTTGCCTCTAAAACAGCTATGAGATATCATCTCACCCCAGTCAGAAGAGCAAAATTTAACAGAACAGCAAGCAACAAATGCTGGCGAGGTTGTGGAGAAACTGGAACCCTTTTTCTGTTGGTGGGAGTATAAAATGGTGCAACCCCTGTGGAAGGCGGTATAGCGCTTTCTCAAAAAATTGCAAATTGAGATACCATTTGACCCAGCAATTCCACTACTGGGAATATACCCTGAAGAGACCATAACTGACATCGAAGCAGATACATGCACACCTATATTTATTGCAGCTTTGTTCACAATAGCAAGGATTTGGAAACAACCTAAGTGCCCATCAACAAATTAATGGATAGAGAAACTGTGGTATATTCACACAATGGAATACTATGCTGCATTGAA